AAGATCTTAAACTTTTTCTTCATTTAGCTCATTCTTCTTATATTGCTTGTTTTTGTCACAAACTGAACCCATGATCCTACATTTTTTTGGCAAACCTTTGATATACACAACTTTGTGGGAACTTGTTCTTGTGGGTATTTAAGAATGAACTTTTGAATGTACTTCCTGTAAGTTTTTTCCTTGTACAAAATTTGAAGATGAAAGTTTTCTCCTGGATAAAGAGTTCTGAGCAAGCAAAATTTTCACGTGCTACTGCACTGATCACACTACCTATGTTCACTGTGACAATGAGTCAGTCATGTATGGAAATTTCAGAGTGATCCAAGACAGTGTACACTCTGGCTGTGGTGTTGATACCGTTCTCCATTTGCTTTCATTATGTTTGCAGTTATATCAGCATACAAGATATACGAGGGTTGGAACTTTAATAGTGGCAACACTGCTGTAGAGACGCCATGCAACGGAACCAAATAATGTCACTTATAGCACACATTAGTTACATACTTACCTTACCTCAGAGCAAATGGACTCTCCCTTCCAACATCACGTGCATGTGCAGTGATGAGAAGAACAGAGCCTCATGTGAGCTGGCGGTCTAATGTAGTGGTCATGATATTTTCGGAACAGGAACAACGGAGTTGGATAAAGATTGAATGTGACAGAGGCTGTATAGCACTACAGTGTCATTAATGTCTTCAAGAAGCTTGCAGGGAATCTGCACTGTCTTACAGAACAGTGGCAAGGTGGGTAAAAGCCTTCAGTGAGGGACGCCAAAATGTGTCAGACATGCATTGGCCAGTCATCCTAGTGTCAGTGAAGAAGAAGTGTATGCTCTTTCCGCATCATTGGAGAGTGATCGATGCCATACGATTCATGGGCTGGCCCGAGAGACAGGATTAGCGCATATGACTGTGCTTCACATTCTGAAGGAACGCCAGGGAATGAGAAAAATTGCATCATGATGGGTTCCACATGATTTGATGGAAATGCAGAAATGGCTACAATATGATGCTGTTCATAACCACTTGGAGCGCTATGAGCGCGAAGGAGAGGCTTTCTTATACCGTATCATTACACTGGATGAGACATGGGCCAAATCGTACGAGCCACAAATGAAACACCAATTGAACGAATGGCATCATTATGGGTCACCACAAAAATCAAACATTCATCAGAATGTGAATGTTATGG